TTAGTTTTTCCAATTAATTTCTTTCTAATTTTAGTAGAGACGGGGGTCTCGCTCTTGCTCAGGCTGGTTTCGAACTCCTGAGCTCAAACAATCTACCCGCCTCAGCCTCCCAGAGAGCTAGGATTACAGGCGTGAGCCACCGCGCCCAGCCTGGATAATTTTTCTTAAAGATCCTCAGGTGAACATAAGTACAAAGATCAAAAAACTCTACGTTTAAAAAAATGTATATAACAGGCCACGCGCAGTGGCTGAGGCCTGTAATATAGCACTTTCGGAGGCCAAGGCAGGAGGATCACTTGATGCCAGGAGTTGGACACCAGCCTGAGCAACATAGCAAAATCCCATCTCTAGAAAAAATAGGAAAAAAATTAGCTAAGTGTGGTGGTGCAGGCCTGTAGTCCCAGCTGCATGGGAGGCTGAGACAGGAGGATAGCTTGAGGCCAGGAGTTTGAGGTTGCAGTGAACTGTGATGATGCCACTGCTCTCTAGACAGGCAGCAGCAGGAGACCCTGCCTCCAAAAAAAAAAAAAAAAAAAGTATACAACCAAGCACAAGCAGTTATTTCCCTATACCTAAGGCCCTTCATTTGTAAAAGCACTCCAGTCTCTTCTCACAGCCTTCCTTTCCTTTACACCTCAATCGACAAAAAGAAGTTGAAAGCAAGAGGAGGGGCAGGACATCAGTAACTTGCAAACTGAAAATTTCCCAAGGATTCATGCACTCAATATATAATTAGGCATTTAGTTTGTTATTTTACTGACAGGCATGTATTAACAACTTTGGTATTTATGTGATACCTTTATATCATGAAAAATTAGGTACTTTGTATATATTAGACTACATAGACAATCATAGACAATATTCTCACGAATAGCTTGCTATTTCAGTCCATGGCATAAAGTTATATAAGAAATCATCCTCTATTTTACTGACTAGGTAATACATTTATATGGCTCAAGAATGAAAACTGTAAAGTGTACACTGAAGTTTTGCTCCTACTCCTGTCCATTTTTACTGTTTCCTGTTTATCTTCCCAGTGTATACGTACAAATACTAGTAAACACAAACACGTATTCTTATTTCTCCATTACACAAAGGGTACCATACAGTATACTCTAACCCACACTTTGCTACATTTAAATCAATTTATCCTAGAGATTTCTCCATATCAGAACATCCTTTTTTTTATAGCTCTGGTATCCCACTATGTGGCTATATGATAATTTATTCAACAAATGCTCTATTAGGTTGCTTCCAAGGCATCTTTTTTTTTTTCAAAGCATCTTCTTAAGTGATACATTTTTCAAATCTCTCCTGTTACAGTAACAAAGTGAGTTCTAATTTATAGAGGAAAAACTGTATCTTCAAAGGGCTTATATATCAACATCACAGGATTTGCTTAGACCCATAACAACATATTAGTGACATACTGTTCATATTTTGTAAGAACCATAAGCAACTGCCATCTCACACAGCTGTATTCTCTTCCTATCTGATGTATTTATTATAGCATTTCTCAGATCATTTGTATATTGTTATGCATTGTGACTCTCCAAAATATATGTGTGACATTTCCCAAACTTATCTGGCTACAGAATGGTTCTCTGGCAGAATCGCCTATAGATCTAGTATTCCGCAAAACGAACTGTAAAGGAATGTTAAAGAGGGTGGATGTAATAATTATTGTCAGCTATTTAAACTAAACACAAAATTATGAACTTTTAAGGAAAACACCAAACCAAGCTGGGCTAATTTTCAGAACACATTTCTTAGCCGTTTTTTGAATTATAAACCCTTTGAGATCTGAATGTAAAGCTATTTGACCCTCTCCTGGAAAGAATGCATACAAGCATAAAATTTTTCATAGTTTCTGAAGATTCATGGACTCCTGAGGCCCATCCACTGATCACATGCTCATCACTATTTTAAAAACAATTTTAACTAGACAGTGCCATATTATCTATGGCACCATTAACACTCCAAATGCTAGGACATAACCCAGGACACTTCCCATGCAATGCTAATGAAAAAAATCAGAGAATTCATCAAGAGGAACACCTTGGTGCAAAGCAAACAAAGCATATTTAAAGGGATCATGTTTAACAACTTGTAATATCAAGCAAAGTAAATTCTATTAAATAACTGTGGGAACTGTGGGAACAGACTACAAGGGGTTGTAGTCTGATTTTTACATAAGTGTCTCTTACTACAAATAAATAAATGAGATTCTTATAGGAACAAGAAGGTTGGCCTTTAATTCACATTATACAATATGAAATCTTAACATCAAGCACTATTTAGAATGTAATACATTTCACATTTGACAGCAGCAGCTACTAGAAATATAATTTTGCTGCAAATTTGAATGTGGCAATGTGACTGCCCAGGAGAAAAGAAAAACAATATTCTGGGGATTTTAAATGTAGATCAAAAAAAAAAAAAAAAACCCACCCAGGCAAAATTATAGTTTAGTAGGGGAAATGATTAGGAGAGAAAGGAATTAAATTAGAAAGGCAATCCATCCAGGGCTATCACATCTGGCTCTGGGGGTAGTACCTTAGGAAAGGGTGTACAGCGGAGGACTGAAGCTCAGCAGGCTCCTCTCATCAAGCTTTGTGGTAAAGTTTGCATCTGCCTAAACAAGGAGTTGGCTGTAATTCACAGAATAGCAGCCCTGTGACATCCTCTTCCCTCACTTCCCTAACACAACTTCCTCCCTGAGCCACCCAGGGCAAATCTTAAAAGTGTTAAAATTTTGAAAAAGATATTTTCTAGGTCAAGATAATATCTCAGTAACCAAAGTCTAATAGGATACAATATTCTAATTTAAATTATTCCTTACCAAAAATTTGTTTCTTAGAAGACTTTTTTTTAACAGAAACATCTCTAGTACTACCATGGAACTCAATGGGTGGAGAGGCTCCTATACATAAATTTGTTTTATTCCTATTTTTGTTTAACACATAAATTCCTAAAGTAAGAGGATTTCTGTGAGTTTTCAGTATTTTTCCAGAGTAAAGAATAGTATTGAACTAAAAACATTCTGTATATCAAAGAACATGCACCAAGAACAAAATCACAAAGTATTAATTATATGTGTTATGGCAAATTATGAGAGAAAAAGATTAAGTATTGCCTTTACCCTTTTTCCATGCTCTTTTGAGAAACAATTCCACATTCCTTTATATAATGAAATAGAATACAGGTATCTTCCAAGTGTGAATCTTTTTTCAAAGGTATAACCAATTCTAAAGTTCTGAATCAGAGATAATGAACAACTCAACAGCTTCTCCAAACTGGGCAACCTCACAGAAAAGCTGCAATACAGTCCTGGAACCCAGAGAGGGAGATGATTTCTATGTGAGATGTGAACAGAATGAGAAGCAAATGACACTAGTACACACAACATTCTCTGTAAAAGGAAAAAAAAAGGGCATTTAAAACATAACAGTATCTTTTCATTACGACAGGTAGATTGTGCTTTACCCTTTGATATTATTTTAAAAAACTGTTTAAGGCCAGGCGCGGTGGCTCATGCCTGTAATCCTAGCACTCTGGGAGGTCGAGGTGGGCGGATTGTTTGAGCTCAGGTGTTCGAGACCAGCCTGAGCAAGAACAAGACCCCGTCTCTACTAAAAATAGAAAGAAATTAGCCAAACAACTAAAAATATATATATATAAAAATTAGCCGGGCATGGTGGCACATGCTTGTAGTAGTCCCAGCTACTCGGGAGGCTGAGGCAGGAGGATCGCTCGAGCCCAGGAGTTGGAGGTTGCTGTGAGCTAGGCTAAGGCCACGGGACTCATTCTGGCCCAGGCAAGAGAGTGAGACTCTGTCTCAAAAAAAAAAAAAAAAAAAAAAAAAACTGCTTAAGTAAACCTATTAAAATCCAAACTATGGCTTAATAAAAATTAAAACTTAAAAATATTCTTCTTGGAAGAAATCTGAAAATCTGCTTAAAACAGCCAAAACTAGATCTGTCTATACTATCAGCTCCAGATAAAATGCAAATATATATCATAACCACATTTTCTTCCTAAACCAAGTACTGAAAAAAAGTATTAGGCCATTCTCTTCTCACAGTGGTCATTTGAAAATGTCTAGCCCATGAAAGAAAAGAGTCATTAATTTGGGAAAACTAACCTACTCTAATAGGCTAGCCCTCTGCCCTCAGGAAGACTATTAACTGCAGCACTGCCAAACACTATCATAACACTATGCCAACCATAGACCCCTTGGTAGTTTATCATTATCATTAGTACAAATAATCCTGAATTTACCCAAATTGTAAAAATACAAAAAAATATGCAAAATTGTCTGCTAAACAAAAACAGAGGCAAGGCTTGGTGTGGTTGCTCATGCCCATAATTCTAGCACCCTGGGAGGCTGAGGTAGGAGGATCACTTGAGGTCAGAAGTTCAAGACCAGTCTGAGCAAGAGATCCAGTCTGTACTAAAAATAGAAAATTAGCCGGGCATGGTGGCACATGCCTATAGTCCCAGATACTCACAAGGCTGAGGCAGGAGGATCGCTTGAGCCCAGGAGTTTGAGGTTGCTGTGAGCTAGGCAGATGCCTGGGCACTCTAGCACCAGCAACAGAGTGAGACTCCGTCCCCCAAAAAAAGAGTAGAACATCTGGCTTCTGACTGGGAACCTTTGTACAATCAGTAACTAAAGAGAGGATTAAATATGGGTGATGTTGAGAAAGGCAAGAAGATTTTTGTTCAGAAGTGTGCCCAGTGCCACACTGAGGAAAAGGGAGACAAGCACAAGACTGGGCCAAAACTCCATGGTCTCTCTGGGCAGAAGACAGGTCAGGTCACTGGATTCTCTTACACAGAGGCCAATAAAAACAAAGGCATCACCTGGGGAGAGGATACACTGATGCAGTATTTGGGGAATCTTAAGAAGTATATCTCTGGAACAAAAATGATTTTCGCCAGCATTAAGAAGGAAGAAAGGGCAGACTTAAAGGTTATCTCAAAAAAAGCTACTAATTAGTAATAATTGGCCACTGCCTTAATTACAAAAAGAAATATCTCATGACTTTTTTTTATGTGTACCATAATTTAATTGGTCTCACACACTAGAACTCAGATCATGAAAGAGTGACAGAATATTTTTGTTGGATAGTCCTGATTTAACTAAGGCTGGCTTGTAGTTAATTCAGTTTTTTGAGTTTTGATGGTAATTCCAATTCAGTAAATGTTATCACTGTTTTCCCCTTCTAAAGATATAATTGGATTTAATTAGTAATGTTCAACTTTTCATAAAGATAGTAAATTGCCATCTCAAAACCTATTGAAGATTGGTTTTATATTTAGATTTATATAACTGATTATGTGAATATATTTAAATATTAGGGAAATCCCTTCACTCTCTTGGAACCAAGCAAGACTCACTGGTGTTTTAATTTGTGTTTATTAGCCTGTTAAACGCAAGGGCTGGAGATAAGGTAGCAATGTTTACTTAATATTTTTGGTCTTCACTATGCCAATCTAATTTCCCTGTGTCTACTAAAATGTTGTCTTTTATTTATTGAAAGGCATTTTAATATGTGTTTACACATAGTATCAAATAAAGAATATTTAACACTTCTTACATTTGATAGACAATCCATAAGGTTAAATGTTTTTAAAAGTCAATGTGACAAGAAGGAGCAAATTAAACTTTTGAACTCTTTACTACCTAAGTCAGACTAAGTTATAATTTAGGATTGTCTTTAAACAGCTCTTCAGAAAGACATAAAACTGTAGAACTTCTGTGTATGTGTGATTGGTAATGGTGCTTTTACCAACTCATTAGAAGCATTAAAGTAGGAGACAGGCACAAATTTAAAAATTATGTGTGATCATAACTTAAGATAATTAAAAATAAAATCACAGATCATGAAAAAACACAGAGACAAATTTCATTGTAAGCTAGAACAGCTTTATTACTGATACATGCTTATTGCAAAACTGAAAACACTGTATGCATAAAAAGTGAGAACTACAGAAGAAACCATAACCAGCAAGAAGAAACTATAATATATATCAAAAGCTACAGGGATCTATGACTACCATGTAACATTAACCTTATGAAACACCCATATGCACCTTCATACAAATGGCCGATTTTGTCAGTTGCAGATGCTATCCACTTTAAGATCATATTTGTGGTAAGATACAGTAAAAGGAAGAAAAACAACCCATTACAGGATGTTGACAATTATAACTACCAATGTTTTAGAATAGATTGGTTAGCATACCACATACCACTAAAATAATATACCAGGTTTCTCCACCATCAGGTTACTTTGGCTTTTGATTTTAACCTACACTCAAGAGTCTAGAATACTCTAAGTTTCATACCCTAATCTCTCTTAGAAAACCTGTGTACTTCCCAGTCTGAATGACCAGACAAAACAATTCTTCAATACAATTCTATTGTCCTACTGTTTCATTTGGACAGATGACAGATTTGCTATCTCTCTGTTTACTATAACTCCATGGATTATTACCTAAAGTCACCAAGAATAAGGCAAAGGCTGGGCATGGTGGCTCACACCTGAAACCCTAGCACTTTGGGAGGCCAAGGCAGGAAGACTGCTTGAGGTCAGGAGTTTGAGACCAGCCTCAGCAAGAGCAAGACTCCATCTCTACAAAAAATAGAAAAATTAGCAAGGTGTGGTGACGTGCGAACATGGCCACAGGTACTTAGGAGGCTGAGGCAGGAGGATAACTGAGTTTGAGGTTGCAATGAGCTATGATGACACCACTGCACTCTAGCCCAGATGACAGAACAAGACTCTGTCTCAAAAAAAAAGAATAAGGCAAAAAGGTAACTGAAATCCTGATAATATACCTGGGGTGGCATATCTCTGGAGCTATCGATACCTAATCACAGTTCCCCAAAGAGAATGATTACTTACAGACACACAAAAAAAACTTCACTTGCCAATCATCACTAAATTCATATTGAGTTGTTAGTATCTTTCATTTATTCTAATGACTTTTTTAAAAATATTTTTAACAGACTCATGAAATGTTTTAACTGGAATTAGCAGGAATGTAAATGCTATCACTGTGTTCACTCCACATGCCAAAATAAACTCAGTGAAGGCAGGACTCTGTCTACCTTATTTGCCTATATCCCCAGTGCCTGGCACCTAGGAGATATTTAACAAATATCCATAAATGAATGAAATCATATAACAAAATTCATGAAACAGTCCCAAAATTCCACTGTACTGCTTTAAGATCACTTGCTAACACTTGGGAACTTTCTAAACAGTGCTATTTGTAACAGGATTTAACCTATACCAAAAATAAGACCAAAAAATAATTTCCAAGTGAAGTCTACAATGAGTTTTTATACCAAAGCAAAACACAACTTGCATTTTGTAAGATAATGACTTTCCTCTCTCTATGCCAATACTATGGATCAGTGAAAATGACAGAATTTTAGAAGAAACTTCAGAGCCTAAATTATGAAGCAGATGGGCTCCAGTTTCTGAGTAATATAAACTGTCACAAATCTATTCAAACTTTTTGCATAATTACAGACCTAAGATGGTATTTTATGAATATTAATTTTATTCTACTTTTTTGGCTATGCTAAGCAGTCTGCTGTTAGAAAAAAGTTATGATTGACAAATATCATAATTTGTCATTTTTATGGCTTTCATTTATCAGAGAAAAATGGGTGAGCAAAGATTTAACTTTGTCAATGCCAACAGTTCCTCTTTCCAGTTTTCAAATCATAATGTTCTCTACTTCAACATACAGTGTTCCGGTTCTCTCATTCTATTTTTAGACTGTATGCTACCTTATGGTATTTGAATTCTATTATTGATTTGTAAATGTTTACTGTAGCCAAGACTTATCTTTCCAAGATCCTCCCCTACCATGCCATTAACAGCAGTGTTAAATAATTCCTTTGTCATCCATCTTCCCCACTTGCATATAACTTCTATTAGGATAGAGTTGGTTCTGTCTTGTTGGATACTACGGAATAGGTTTTAAATCAGTGTTATTACAGTAAATGAATGATTTGGAGGGCAATGGCCTTATCATTTGTTTCTTCTGCTAGCTAAGTAGGCAATATTTGAGAACTCATCACAGGTTCTATTCGGCTTTGTGAAAACTCAGATGCTCTTTACTGCTCAATTGAAAATTTGCAAATAATAAATTTAAGAACAGACAACAGTGTACTGGATACACACTATTAGAGAAGGTGTTATAAAACACTGTTCATTCACTGGCCACACAAAGAATTAAAGAAGGTTCCTTACAATGGGTTTCCAGTATTCCATTACCATCACTGTGAATGATCTTCCCAATGACCACTGCTGAATGACTTCACTGTCTGGACACTTAATTTCTTCTATGTTTAGAGGACATATTAATGAATACACTGAAGTAATGAATGACTACTCTCCATGGCCTTAACAATAATCTTAAAACTTAAAAGGGGAAGGGGCAGGTGTTTTAAAGAAAACTCTTGAATAAAAACACATGAAAAACAATTTTCCCTGTTAGTTGTGAAAGACCGGAAAATCTTCCCTGCAACCTTCCCTCCTTTGCTGGTCACAGAGTAAAAACTGGAAGTAGGAAAATTTGTAACACCTCCATCTCCTTTGAGTCACGAACTAGGAAGGGAGAAGAGAATTACAACTGTGGGGACACATGTGCTCTACATGAAAGCAGGAAGTCTGTTTCTTGAGCATGGCCACTCATCCATCACCACAAATGGGAACATTGGCCTTTACAACGTCCATCCCCACTCCCCTCCAACTCTGAAGCCAAAGCCAGGAAACGCGATTTTGTTAGGATCTGATGAAGAGAAGGAGTAGCAGAAGGCTCGGGACACCCTTCACTTTCCACTCGGCCTGCGGATCCTCCTCAGGTTCAAGCCAGAAGAGAAAGCAGACCTGGCAGGCAACAGCGAAAAGCTGCCCTGGCCGCAAAGGCAGGCGGCTAGTCCACGCGGCCGGAGAACTCACCGAACAAAGCACACCGCGGACCGGGTGGGGAGACTCGGAAAGAGGGGGAAAGATTCACACCAGCTCTTCACCACTGCCTGGGCTAGAGACAGGTGGAGCCGCTGTCCTCCTTAGAAGGAGAAGAAAGATGTGTTTTCGAGGGGCTAATCTGAACTCCTGCGCCAAGTGGAACCGGGACCCCGGCTGGGGAGAACGCTGGGAAATAGGGCAGGCCAGCGCTGCGGAGAGAAAGGAAGGGATGATGGTTGGGGTCCAAGGCGGCCCCTGCCGGAATGCCGGGGTCTCGCCCGAGCCAAGCCGAGGATGCCCGTGGAGCGCAGCCGGCCGCCCCGACTCGGGCCTCCCGGCGCCGCCGCCCGCCCCCTCGCACCCGCGCCCCAGGCAGCCACACAAAGGGGATGGCGAGGCGCGCTGGCGGCCGGGAGGTGGAGGGAAGCGGGGCCTGGGACGAGGTGGCAGAGACGCGACGTCCGCCGTGCCCCTGCCTTTGTCTGCCTCGCTCCGCGCCCTCCCCCCGCCAAGGAGCCCCACCGCCGCGGCGCCCTCACCCTGCTCGTTACCCGCGTGAGTAGCGGTCTCATCTGCTCGCCGGCCCCATCCGCCTCCATGGCCGGCCGGCTAGCCTGTGGCTACCGCTACGGTGCTTCCCCGCGCGGTCTGCCCGCTGCTGCCGCTACCGCCGAGACCCCGGTTCGCGAGAGGGAACGAACGTGAGACTGTGCGCGAGGTGCGCGCTCGTGGGGAGAGCCGGGCGCCGGGCGCGGGAGACGCGGGGCGCGCGTGTGCGCGCTGCGGCCGCTGCCTGGCTCTAGCGGGGGAGCGAGGCCGCGGCGTGGAACATGGAGCGAGAACTGAGCGAGCTGGAGGACCGAGCGGGGAGAAGGCAGCCGCGTAGGAGGAGGGGCTCGGGGGCGGGGCCGCAAGCCGTGACGCGCGCACCGCCGGGGTCCCGCCCCGACACGCCCCTCGCACCGCCCCCTCGGGTCACGCCCCCTGCCAGTTTGGCACCACCGGC